CAGAAAGCTCATCTCCATTTTATATAAATCGGTCTCAAACAATCATGGGAATGATTATTCGTTACTTATTTCCATTTTTTCCATTCTTTGGTCTGTGGATCTGCCTTGTATTTCTGATTTTCCCTCAATAGACTTGTTAATAAATTTAGTGAGCCACAATTTACCACATTTGTTCACGGCAATATTAAAAAATAAGGTCATTCAAACTACTTTGAAAAATTCAAACATAATCACGTTGCATATGAAAAGATTACTTCAAGTATCATTAATTTTTCTGTGATTTAACACAAAGCTGGGTTATTGATTGTCTTTTGGCAAATCTGATCACTTTCACGGTATGAGTTTTTGATACAACTCATTAATTTCGATATTTATTGCTTCAGACTTTCACAGTAGCAACTGGTGATCGCTTTTAATGCAAAGATTATTCTTCTCAACAGTCAAATCCTATATATTTATATTTTGGCAATAAAAATCCATATAAAACTTTATATTTCATGCAAGGGAACAAAGAATGATGAAAATAGCTTTAATTTCACAATTTGATAAAAAAGACATCAAGCGAGGCACAATTGTGAGTGCAATAGATGGCTATAAAAACGCTCGACTAAATTGAGATTGAGCAACAGAGATTAAATAGATCAAAGTCATATATGTTTCTTACACATTTTTTTAATTCAACAAAAAACGAATTGCGGAAGTGGAAAAACCTTACGACATTAATATCATACCTTTCGCATATTGCACTGATTTGCTACTTCACTGTTCCAAGTGTACCACTTTTCAATAAAATCAGTCATACAGTTTTCAGACCACCTCAACCACCAATCCCATTCCTTCTTCATGAAATCAGACACTGATGAGTGAGGAGCTTCCGACGATTCTGAGTTCACAGGCAACGAAGTGGTGGACGTTGCAGTATCTTCTTGTGCAGTTGTTACACTTTGTTCAGATGACGTGGTTGCTTCATCCTGCTCTGTTGCATCTGAAACAGTCGACGCGGTGGTGGCCGCTGTGGTCTCTTCTTGTGCAGTTGTTAAGTTTTGTTCCGATGACGTGGTTACTGTATTCTCTTCTGCCGTATCTGAAACAGTCGACGCAGTGGTGGCCCCTGTGGTCTCTTCTTGTGCAGTTGTTACACTTTGTTCGGATGACGTGGTTACTGCATTCTCTTCTGCCGCACCTGAAACAGTCGACGCAGTGGTGGCCGCTATGGCCTGTTCTTGTGCAGTTGTTACACTTTGTTCGGATGACGTGGTTACTGCATTCTCTTCTGCCGCACCTGAAACAGTCGACGCAGTGGTGCTCGCTGTGGTCTCTTCTTGTTCAGTTGTTACACTTTGTTCGGATGACGTGGTTACTGCATTCTCTTCTGCCGCATCTGAAACAGTCGACACAGTGGCGGCCGTTGTGGTCTGATCTTGTGCAGTTGTTACACTTTGTTCGGATGACGTGGTTACTGCATTC